CTTCCTGCCACCATCATGACTCACTCACTTACCATTCATAGTTGTGTGTTTTGGCTGACGTCCCAGGGGAACAAACCTAAATGTTTTTTTCTACATGTCCATAGAATCATTCTATAACGAGTATAATCTTCCATGTGCTGTTCACCTCTGTGGACGTTTGTCATTTCTAACATATTCTCTGGGGCTGTGTGTCTGTGTGTACATGCACCACTTCCTCCTGACTACACGCATTTGTCAGGAGCTGTAAAAATAGCTCTGCTTCAGCACGTGTCCTCACAGCACACAACTGCTTTGGGGAGAGGGGGCTTTGGCGGGATGGATCCAGCTGAAAAATTGAGCTGGTGAATTCATCCAATAAACATTGTTAGTATCAGTGGTAAAAATGGAACAATTGAGCTAATTCTCAAACTGTTACGAGAGAGATGTTGAAACCAACTGTGAAGTGTCGTGTTGCCAAGATTGACTTGTTTTAAATGAATATTTATTTATTATTGTGTCTTGCCCAGCCCTTTCATGGGCTTATAAGACACCAATATAAAGAACAGGATCAAATGACAGACAGAATACAAATATAACTTATTTGAACAAACAGGATTGCCGGCGCTTCCAGGCTTTACCAGCATAAGTAGCCAATTAAAAACATTTCAGCTTATCATCACTGCTCCAAAACAGTTCAGGCTTTACAGACTAAACAGAAGATTACGAAGATTGTCATTTAAAGGACAGTACAAAACAAAATATGTTTCATTGTCCACCTCTCCTAAATAAAAGTTTACAAAGTCGGGAGTCTGAGTAAACCTTAAAAGTATAATTATTTCTAAAATTACGGACATTTCTGGTGTTACCTTTGCTTTAAAATGTATGTTTTCATCGACTTTGTTATTATCATTGTTATTATGTTTTATGTTCATGCTGATGTTCTTTATCCATTTACTTAGTCCATTGAGTAGTGGTAAGGTACTGACTGTAGCCACAGCTGCCTTGGAACAAAATTATAGAAAAATGACTGTCACAGGAGCCTCCAATCCCCAGCAGTGATTCAACATTGTGTGAGGCTGGATAACTTCACGGTACGTGCACTTTGCTATACACAAGTGACACATTTGCAAAATTCATTATGCGTAAACATAACATAAAGGACAATGCTTTAATTGTTTTTCATCAAATAATCTTCTCCAGCAGCAGATTGGACTGCAAACCACATGTGTCAACCGTTTATCTTCTCCCAAAAGACTGAAACAATTACTTTCAAATTGAACACTGATGGAACCAAACAGACAGGATTTGAAAAGAAAGCTAACAGAATTGAGACTTGAACTTTTTTTGTATGCAAGCAATAATTCAAATGTTTATGGTCGTGTTTCAAATAAGTATCAGTCTAGAAAATAATGAGTCTCAAGTAATTGGGACGCAGAGACTATGGATGAAAATTAGCGAGTAGTTTTGTCCGGTCTAAACTAAATCTGTTGTGCATGTCCCTGTCAAGTACTAAAATGATGGCAGAAACTCCTTTCTGAGTGAAGTTTGCATGTTCTCCCAGTGTCTGCGTAGGTTTCCTCCCGGTGCCCCGGTTTCCCCTACCACTAAAAATATGTACAATAGATCTGGCGTGCACCTCCTGTGTAGCGAGGGACAATTACCCGAAAAAATAATAATTGTAAAGCGCTTTGTGATTCTGGTCTGTGAAATGCGCTACATAAATAAAGATTTCTAACTAATTTACTCACTCACAGTGAATAATATAATAATATAATAATGATATTCTATCTATTCTATTTAAAGGGCGGCAGTAGCTCAGTTGATAGAGCATTGGCCTTTGAGCCAGAAGGTCGTGGGTTCAAGCCCCGATCAAGACTTTTACCATCGACTCCCACTGACTACTGTCGTTGTGTCCTTGGCAAGACACTTAACCTCTGGGAACACCAGCCACAGTGGGGCGGCTGCGGCTGTAAAGTGCCAAACTGCCGTTGTGTCCTTAGACAAGACACTTCACCCCCATTGCCTAGAATGAGCATACTGGTTGCCTCGCTTCTGTCAGTGTGCCCCAGGGCAGCTGTGGCTACATTAGTAGTTTATCACCACCGTGTATGGAGTGAATGAATAATGACACATGTGAAGCGTCTTTGAGTGTCCAAAAAAGCGCTATATAAAACCGATGCATTATTATTATTATTAATAATAATATACAAACAGAAAAACATGTGATTGGACTCTTAATATTGTTCTCTCATTTTTATAGCTACACTCTCCTCACATTAATGTATGTATCTTTTGGAGTGACTCACACAGATGCAAAACGCACATCCTTTGTCGGGCTTAACTTAGGCTCTTTGATCAAACACTCTTCTCTCACAGAAATAGCTGCAGGTTTGAAAATAGCGTGTACCTTTTGTGCATGATTCACTCAATCTTTCCACTCGGATGCTTTGGCTGCGTACAAACACTTGAGACTTGCCATGGCTGATCTAGGGCAACCGTGTAGGCATGGAAAATCTAACTTTAGTCTGCAATTGTTGTACTTTTCCACACACTTTAATCATGGTTAAAATTACACTAAGCTTCTGAAACAATTAAGAACAGATACAAGACTGATTGACTCAGGTTTGACAACAGTCTTTTTAGACTAGTTGTTATCTTTAGTTTGTTATCTTTTAACAAAGCATATTGTTACTATAATATGGAGAGGCATCGTTCACACACTCACACTACAAACAAATACACACAGACACTGACACATGCACGTGCACACAATCACACATACGTACACGTAAACACACATTTCATTTTCATTTCATTTATTATCACTTTGCACATGACACGTTACAAAACTTATCCAAAACAAGATATAAAAAGACAATCATACAAAACAAAAGCACCAAAATAAATATAAAATAATGTTCAGTTGAACATAGAAGTATGCATGAATAAAATAATAGTAATGATTAAAATGCATTGTCTTGTACACACACACACACCTACATGCAAACACACACTTACATGCACACACACACGCACACACATTTACATGTAAACACACAAACACACACAAAGGCATAATAATAAGACGGTATCTCCTAATGATTTACCTCAACACCATAATGATCTCATAATTAGGATGTAGGTGAGTGTTGCAGAGCGTGTGCACAATGACACAGCTGTCTGATTAGTGCTTTCTCTAATTGGATTCAAACACAAGGAAATGTTTGAAAAGCTGGCCTTTACAGGAGCATGTCACTCTGCGATGACGCCTAAATGCGCGTTCAGACCGGCAATGCTGGAACGCAGCTTAGGCGCGCAAAAGACGCATATTTTCTAAATTTCAGATGCAGGGGTCTTCACACCAGAAGTCCGGGCCTGTGGTGGCGCCCGCCAGAAGCGGCGGAGGTAGCGGGCGGCTTTGATGTTAACAGAGTTAAGCTAGCGGCTTTTTATGTAAAGTTATTCTCCAATAATGCAGCTCTGCAGCGTCTCTGTGTCCAGAGACCTTCCAGAGACTTTATATAAAAGTAGTATGTGTTCACGGAGATGCGCCATACGTTTATTTTATTATTAAAAGGTACTTCGGCAAACATGCTCAAATCAGTGGTACACAGTCACGGGAGCATGAGAACACATATGTTCACAAGCACTGTGTCCCCCATTGTCAACCCTGGTTTAGTCCTGGTGTAGCTCCTCTTTTGGCTGTTTACGAGTATGTTCAGTCTGCTCGCTAATGACTGCTTTGCGGCTCTCTGATTGGTTGATGCATGAGCGTCCCGAGGAAACGCTCAGCAATGTTTATCTCCTGCCTGTGTCGATTTTCCGCTCCTGCGCTTCTACCGTGCCTTTGCCACGCAGTCCGTGCGTCTCTACCGCGCAGTTTGTGTATGCATCCCGAGACGCACTTGCAGTTCCACGCTCGAACACACATCACCTTTGCATTGAAAGTCGCCGCAACGCATGATCCGGTCTGAACGCGGCTTAAGGGACTTTGGAATGTCTTTTGAAAGCAAGGCAAGTTTATTTGTATAGCATGATAGCACAACTCAAAGTGCAGAACAAAACAAGATAGAGACAGTCACGCAAGGCATTAAAATCTTAAATAGAACTGCTTTTAGCCTGGGTTTGAACATGGTCAGAAAAGAAGCCTGTCTCACTGTTTCAGGAAGACTGTCCTTCCTTTTCCAGGGGCCAGAAGAGTCATTGATTATTTCAAGAGCTCAGTTTAAGAATTTTGATTCATAAAGAACCTGCAAAGAGGCAGCTCACAGTCCTGTTTGCAGAGTGGAGAAGCTTGTTTAGAGCTCTCGAGGAAAGTTACTGGTCGTCATTGGTGGGTGGGGTTAACCACTCCAGTAGCTGAGCAAGATGCATTCAGTGAGGATACAAAGTGTGGTTATGAGGTGTAATCCTTACACCCGGGATGTACCTCTGTCAAAACAGCCACTTGGAAAATGGCCTGAAGCTACAAAATATAACATAAGGCTGTTATCAAAATCACACTTTAAGCTTCCAAAAGTAAACATCCAATTCAATTCAATCACATTCAATTCAATGTATCATTGTAAAGCCCAGTAGTTATCTCTGAGGACTTTACAAACCATTGAATTCGCCAACACAGATCAGAGAATCAAACAGTTCAAACACAAGAAATGCAATGATAAAAAACACATTGGTCATGCACCCCCTTATGGACCGTAAGTTGTTGAAAGTCGAGTGACGGGGTCATCATCATTGTCCTATATAATGGCGAATTTGTCCTCTGTCTTGTCTTTCTCAGTAGGAATCATTTTAGACTTTGCCCTGCATAGATGTATGTTGTTTAGTGGATGGATGTGTTTCTGCTGCTACGAGACATCAGAATTTATACTCTTGGGATCAATCTATTTATCTATCTATCTGCTGCTTGTAACCGTCTCAGTTTTGAATGCAGGCATAATGCAGCCTAACCAAAGGAAGTAAGACAGAGATGTAATAAACAGGCTTCTGCTCCTCGTGCATCATCTGATAGTTCTCCGCAGTGAAGCCCTCTGCTGTGGCCTCGGTCCGACCCGTCTCCCACTCAGAGCGCTCCATCGCGGGTAGCACTGCTGCCCGCCTCATGCTCCTCGATTCCACAAACATCACACGGCTGCAGCTTCTTCCTCACATGTCCTGCATACTTCAGTGTGCACACAGTATGGTTCTGTAGTCTGTTGTGTAGTTTACAATGTTATATAATATTTGTAGTCCGAAGATTTGTGGAGACGAGCATAGATCTATTGATGATGAAGCTGCAGGCGACAGAGGCTGTGAGGCTCAGGGGGCTTCATGGAAAGAGGAGTCAAGAGACTTGACATGACTTTGAGTGCTCCAAATGATTTATATACATAGACATTTACAAAGAAAGTAAAGTATTTATATAATTTTTCTAGAAAATAAAAAAAAAGCAATGACTCATATGATCTTTTCCAATGTGGGATTCTCTGATCTGACGTCTTTGTAACGTTCTGAGATAGCTACTGTTGTGATTTAGGGCTATGCAAAAATAAACGGAATTGAATTGAATTACAAAAGAGATCAAAGGTTGATCCCTGCTCTACACCCTCTACAATCGCTCCTGAATAGGCTAATTTATTTAATTTTGCGCGGCTGAGTGGTTAACACTTCAAATCTCAAGGATTGAGAGTGGTTAGCATATTCTTCCCATTTCAATCTGGAGAGACGAGGAGACTAGATGCATTTGAAGTTTTTTATTGAAAGGTAGTTTGGCGCCCTAGGCCCCGGTGCGGCGCTCAGTCAGCGAGGCTCCTGCGCGAGTGCGCGCACAATCCCCCGGGACCTAAGCACTGGTGGCGGCATTCGGCAGCAGGAAGAGGCATGATTGAGGCAGGGTGAGAAAGGAGGAGGAGGGGTGGCGGTGGTTTGCAAGGCTTTGAGAAGGCCGTAAAGTGGGAGTTTCTCCGCTTTTAAGCGGCTGGCCTGGCCGGCATAGGTTGGTTGGAAATGGGCGTTTGCTGTGCGATAGGCTGGGGCTGCGAGGCCGGCCTGGAAGGAGTGGCTTTGCTGACGTCTTCCAGAATTGAATTTCCGCAAGGCTGCATTTCAATCTGGAGAAACTAGGAGACAAGATGCATTTGAAGTTTTTTATTGAAAGGTAGTTTGGCGCCCTAGGCCCCGGCGTTCAGTCAGCGAGGCTCCTGCGCGAGTGCGCGCACAATCCCCAAAAGGCTGTGTGTTTGATGGGGTTTTAGGCAGGCCTGGTTAGCAAGGGACGTCGTAGGTGCACCGCTATATATAAAGGCAACACTATTTATAAAGGCAACACTATTTATAAATGCTCAGCTGCTGCCGCCACCAGGGAGTTTGCAAGTGCTTTACGGAGATGCCAATAGACGCTGGGCTGCCAGAATAGTCGAAGTGTCAGGCCTGATGTATGAGGAGAGGGCAGATGATGACCAGCGACCCAACTGCTGAAGGGCAGAATGGGGAAGACCCAGGGAAGCAGCGCGCGTGGCAGCGCCTATCCGGAAAGAGTGAGCTGTGTAGAGATGAGGGGACAAGTTACAAAGCAGCAGTACAGACTTGAGTTGGGCTCTGAACCAGTTAGATGTCATGGGGAGGTTGTCGGGAGTGAGGAATAGCGGTCCGTTGAGATCTCCTTTCCGAGAGCGGAGGCGAGTGTAATGCATCATAGATCTGTAAAGACAGGGAGAAGTGTCAGAACGAGCTATGACTATGTTGCAAGCGCCTTTGCGTTTGGAATGCTTGAGGTGGAGGTTGAAGTAGTCGGGATAATATGACAGGTTAGAGAAGGCACTGTCTCGGGATGCATTAAAGGTGGCGTGAGAGTTTGTGAATTCGCTTATGCGTAAGAAGCCGTAGAAGGCGAGGAGGAAGACGCTGGAAAGAAGGGCGATGGTGTACTTTGAGAGTGGGCTGGAGCGAAGTGCGGCGCAGAGCTGGTGGAGGATGGGACGCCTTTGGTCCGAGGAATGAGGGGTGCAGTTGTGAATGCCTTTGATGACGAGTTTGATTGATGGATCAGAGAATAGAGAGGAGAAAGCGGGGTTGTGACAGCGGGCCTGGAATTGTATCCCGACGAGAAGAGAGGTAAGAGATCTTGTAGTGGAGATTGTCCGCACAGTGAACTATGAAGGCGCAGATGGTGCAAGCAGAGGGCGGAATTAGGGGAATGCAGTGAGCGTAGCAAAAGCTGGAGTAGACTTTCCAAGCAAAACTGTACGATTTCCGCGTGGAAGGTGAGAGGCCCATTTTCATGTAGGATGAAGCGGAGGAGAAGAGAAGGTGAAGAGACGGAGGGACTAGTCCAGGGCGAGGGATTCCATGGAGGGGATCTGGCATGGCGTTGAATTGGCAGAGGGGCAGAGGCGTCGGAACTCCTGGAATTTAAAGCGAGAGAGACAGTCAGCAATACAGTTAAGGTGACCAGGGACGTGACGAGCAGTGATGATAAAATTATTTAGGACTGAGAGCCATGTGATGCGTCTAAGGAAAGACATGATTTGGGGAGAGGACGAACGACCTCTGTTAATTATTTCTACCACGTCGAGATTGTCGCACATCACGGAAATCCTTTTTCTGTGCCACGTATGGCTCCACAGCACGCAGGCTACGGTCACGGGATATATCTCATGGAGTGCGGAGGAGATGCTTCGAGGGAAAGAGTCGGGCCAGGGTCCTGGAAAAAAAAAACAAACCACGGACCCACGTCCGTGAAGAAACGCAGGGCATCTGAGGACAGGATGACGTCGCTGTAGAAAAAAGACACACCATTCCAGCGGCTCAGCAGACGGGACCAGAACGCCAGGTCGGAGCGGCACCCAGCCTCCAGGCAGACGGCATCATTGAGGGAGGGAACGGAGCCAGCGAGGGAAAGGAGTCTGGAAATAAAAGAACAACCTTGAGGGATGATACGGATGGCATAATTGAGGTGCCCGAGGAGGGAGAGCAGCTGACGCTTCGAAAGTGACGAAGAGGACAAGGCAGACCGGGAGAAAGCGCGGATGCGCTCGAGCTTGTCCGGCGGGAGGGAGGCCTCCATGGCGCGTGTGTCGAGGTGGATGCCGAGAAACTCCAGGGCGGTGCGGGGCCGGTGGTCTTCTCCTCGGAGAGAGGGACTCCGAGGGCAGAGAAAGCGAGCTTGAGCTTGCGGAGAGAGCCCCCGGAGCCGTCCGAGGGTGGGTCAACTACGAGAAAGTCATCGAGGAGATGCAGGACGGAGGGGAGCGGCACGTAATTAAGCAAGATCCAGCACAGCGCCTCCGAGAGATTATTAAACAGAGAGGGTCTACTCCGGCCGCCAAAGGTGAGGCGCACAGCGAAGAAGAACTCTGAACGTCACTTGACCCCGAACAGGTGCCAGTGGTCGGGGTGGATGGGCAGCAGCTTGAACGCGTCCGTGATGTCGGCCTTGGAGAGCCAGGAGCCGGGGCCGAAAGTCTTTATCAGCCTGATCGCGTGGTCCACGGTAGCGTACTGCAGGGAGAAGGGCGCTGGAGGGATGAGACTGTTGATGCTCGGGGTGGGCCCGGAGCGGGGACAGGAGAGGTCGAATATGAGACGCTTCTTCCCAGAGTACTTGCGGTTGGCGATGCCTAACGGGTTGGAGCGAAACGGAGAGAAAGGGGGCCTGGAGAAGGGGCCGATGACGTAGCCCAAGGACACCTCCTGCGCCAGAAGCCGCGTGACGACTTGGGGCTCACGGAGAGCTGAGAGGAGGTTGCGGGACACGAGAGACGCCGAGGGGAGGGCCTCGACGCCCACGAGAAAGCCATGGGCCAGACCAGACAGGAGGAAATCGACGAAGACCCGGTCAGGATGGAGCTCGAGCGCACGGGCGAGCCCGTGCACGGAGACTGGGGTCGAGAGGTGGGCCCTGATCAGCGCCTGGAAGAAGGCCCCTCGGAGCGGCCTGGCGGGCAGCGCCGCGGGCACAAGAAGCGGGAGTGGGCCTCCCTGCACAGACTGCTCACATGGAGGTAAGGGCACGGATGAAAAGTGCAAACACTCAGGTTGAATTTAGTACCTACGGGAGCACTGGTGTAAACTCCAGACGTGCGGGGGGACGGCCCGTGGGGTCGGGACATCTCGCCCCCGCCGTGTCCGAAGGGGATGCCGGGGCAGAGGGGAGACGTGTGTCCCGAAGCGCCGCACCGGGAGCAGGAAACTGCGGGGGTACCGCCGATGGACAGGAGCAGCACCTCGGTGTCCAGCGTCGCCCAGTCCGCTCTGTAGTTCGCCTGAGTGATGAGGGCCGCGGCCTTGGCGGCGAAGGCCCTGTGGTAGCGATAAAATACGCTGCCTCCGTACCGGAGGGCCAAGTCCCCCATCAAACTCAGGTAGGAGTCCAGCTCAGGCCTCCGCTCGGGATAAGCTGAGCATATTACGTCGCGGTAGACCCCAAAAGCGACGAGGAATTCCCCAATAGATAACTCACGTGACAAGCGGGGATCCGCAGTTTTCACGACCGCAGTGACAAGGTCCGAAGCAGCCACCTGCCGGTCGCACTCGGGAGAGGGGAGAATAAGAGAGACCAGGTTATCCTCCGTTCTAGGATCTTAGAACGGAGGCGCGGACACACGTTAGAGAAGGCATGCATGTAGGGCCTACCAGACGCTGGAGCAGAAACAGCGGTGCCGAGGGAGAAGCCGGCCTCGGGGGAGTCAACGGGAAACGCCACAGCAGGAGAAGGCACCGGAACGACAGCAGGAGAAGGCACCGGGACAACGGCGGGAGCCCGGGACTCAACGGCACAAAGCCGGCTGGACACCGAAGCCACGGTGCGCTGGAGGGAGGAAACAGCAGACAGAATGGCGTCCGTGCGTGCACAGAGGAGAGCGCGGCCCTGGGACCAGCCAGGGGAGCAGCAACGGGAGGAACGATCCGAGGAAGCGCCGAGGCCGCCATGGGTGTGCCCGCGGAGCGGGGCCCACAAGCGCGTGCAGGAGCCTGGGAGGGCGCAGCAAGAGAGCCCGAGGATGCAGGGGAAGGCCCGGAATCCTCAAGGGGAGGGCGCAGGAGGCAAGCGCGCTTCGCCTGCGTGTGCTTCGTCTTGGACTGACGTTTGCGGGGAGGGGGGTCCAAAGCCCGGCGGGGCAAGGTAGAACCTGCCGACAGCTGGTTGAAGAGACTCTGGAGCTGGAGCGACGTAGCATCAGGTCCAGGCACGACACCCCGCGCCGCGAGGTAAGCACGAACCGTCCCTTCGTCCCTGGAAGCCAGACGCACGCTCTTTCGTGGACTGGTGGGCATGGGCAAGGCATCGCGGAGGAGGATGGAGGGGGAGTTAGGCGCCGAGTCAGAAGGAGACGCGGGCGCGCGGACATGAGGCGAAGACTGCATTGTGCACAGGTGCGAGTAGCTAGCATACACTTGCAAGGCTTCGAGAAGGCCGTAAAGTGGAAGTTTCTCAGCTTTTAAGCGGCTGGCCTGGCCGGCATAGGTTGGTTGGAAATGGGCGTTTGCTGTGCGATAGGCTGGGGATGCGAGGCCGGCCTGGAAGGGGTGGCTTTGCTGACGTCTTCCAGAATTGAATTTCCGCGAGGCTGCATGACAGCGTAGGGTCCTCAGGTTTCCCCTACCACTAAAAATATGTACAATAGATGAAATACTGAAAGCCCTGAGCAGCATATATTGGACGTGTCAAAAGCAGAAGACATTTTTCCATATAGGCTGAATAACATATCCATTTATCATTTAGGTTGAAATGACTATTTATTAGAGGCGACAGTGGCTCAGTTGGTAGAGCATTGGCCTTAGAGCTTGAAGGTTGTGGGTTCGAGCCCACCACAAGACCTACTTCACGACTCCCACTGATGACTGCTGTTGTTGTGTCCTTGGGCAAGACACTTAACCCCACTTTGCCTGAAGCCCCTGCTGAATAATCAAGGCTTCTGTGGACTCACCCCCTGCATGCTGATCAGTGAGGGGCTGGTGCTCTGTGTAGTGGGTGCAGCTCTGACAATTTCTCATTCAATGAGTTTCTTTTCTTTTCATGACTATTGACTGTAGATTCAAACCCAGGCTGTGTAAGGGCTATTTGACCAATAAGGAGAGTGGTGGGTGCTGGGCCAGATGACCTGGCCTCCACAGTCACCGGACCTTGGGGCTGGACCACAGGGTGAAGGCGAAAGGGCCAACAAGTGCTGAGCATCTCTGGGAACTCCTTTCAAGACTGTTGGAAGACCTTTTCAGGTAACTACCTCTTGAAGCTCATCAAGAGAATGTCAAGAGTGTGCGAAACAGTAATCAAAGCAAAAGGTGCTACTTTGAAGAACCTAGAATATGAGACTTATTTTCAGTTGTTTCATACTTTTTTTTTGTATAATTACACATGAATTAATTCATAGTTTTGATGCCTTCAGTGTGAATCTACAATCCAAACTTTTGTTCTGTACAGTTTGTCCAGAAATGTTGTTGAATGTTCAGTATCTTGGATCATCACCACTTTCCTTTTAGTTAGACCCGCTGCAGAACAAGGACAGGTCTTTAATGCCTCATATGAATGTTTCTATCTTGATTTTTATTAAGCACCTTTGTTGCCTTGTGTATAACCTGTGCTACACAAATGATTAGAAGCAAGATGATAGACACGTATAGAAAGTAGAACATGTTTGTGCAGTGAGTCAGGCCTCACAGACACTAATCAGGGCTGGAGCAGATGGACAAGCTTCACACGGCGAGAGGAAGTGACACACGGAACATATCACACATTACATTAGCGAAACATGTTCTGTGAGTTACCATGGATTCCCCAAAGTACCTAGACTGGAATGCCTAACTTAACCTCAAACTACAAATTTTATGAAAGTGTATTACAATCCATTTAACAAATTCCTATCCCAAAACAGTTTACTCATGCATGTGTTTTTGAACTCTGGTTAAATCCTTAGAGCCGATTTTTCAGACAGAAATGTGAAAAGAGAAGACCAACCTCAATCAGCCCTGTAGTAATCAAAAAATCACTCACAGGGCTTATAATGTATGTGTACTATGTTTTTCAATGAGATGAAGACAGCTTGCTATGGTCCTTTCTATAAAACTTTTCCTGTTGGGTCAAACAACATTATTTATGAAACAGCCAAAGTGTGGTTGTCCAACTTGAATCTTGAATCTTGATCTGCAGTTTTTACTTGTGGTACATGGGAATTATAGAACATTCCTTGTTATGTAATATCAGTTTCATAATTGGACGACTCTTTTTTTTTGAAGGGCTGTGCTTCAGATTCTCAAAGGCAGTTTGAGAGTAAAAAAAAAAAACACATACAGAGGACAACTTGTGAATCATCTTTTTTTCTGAATTGAGGGCATCATCCTTTTGATGCACAATGAACTAAATTTGTGCACAGTAATGAGCAAACCTCTTTCAAAATCCCTGTGAATAAATCAGTATAAATAGCGAAATATGATGCATATTAATGAGCGGATTATGTGATAGCGGTGTACATTTTGTAATGTTTTTGCTCTTCTTTCTAAGCAAAATCTATTCTCATTCCCAGTAGGGATATGTTGTAATAGCATGCATCTCTTATTGTCAAAATGTTGTAATGGACTGTGGTCTGGATGCACAGTATGCTATTGTATAAACTCAAACAGGAGTGGAACATCTGCTTATTGTTACGAACAAAGTCCTTTGGTTTTGGTTTTTCTCCTTGCCTCCACCTGTCCCTCCCACCTCCAGCTGAGTGACGTCCCACCCACACCTGTGCAGCGATCAGCAGGGAGGCATTAAGGGCCTGGATCCAGACCAGGCTCGCCCTCTCTTCCATTTGGACCGTCCGTTGGACCAGTGGGTCCTGCCGCTGCACCTCACTTTTCCTGAGCATTTTGTTTAGTGATCTGAACAGTGGTTCTTTTGCCTCCCGTCTCTTTTCCACACCTAATTTTAATTTTGTTATTGAGCCACAAGACACCACCTCATGGCTTGTAATACTTCTATGTTCCAATCAAAGGCCCATTCAAATTGTAACTAATATCATCATTCTAACTAGTTTTGAGCTCTAAACTGGTTTGTTTGACCAGAAAGTGAAAGAGAGGCCCGTCCATGAACTCTCAGCCCAAACCGTCAAATAGTGACACATTCGTACTTTATTAGAAGTTCGAACAATCAGCATTTGGGGTCTGATTTACTTTCCCAATTTGACTTGTATGATATTGAAAGGCTACCAATTGTCAACAGTGCATTGCTATGGTAACAAGCACTCACTCCTTCTTCGGTGTAAAAAAGAAAAAAAAAAAGAAGCTGAGGAACAGTCCATGACCAGCACCTTGGAAAAGCTTGCTTTACTGCCATAGAACGTTGGTTGAATAATGGATTTGGAAGTTAAAGGGAGAGCTCCTCACAATTTCATAAAAATAATGGCATAAAAATACATTAAATATAGAAGCCAGAAAAGGGAGGGACACATGTATGGACACCAAAAATGTACATAAGCCATAATTACAATTAGCCACATACACGTCTTCATGTCATATGCAGCGGGGAGAAAGAGAAGACGACATTCTGGTTCGAGCGTCCATCGCTGGGAGTTGTGCATATGAAGCTCCATCTGTTCAGTCCCTTTCTGTTCACAGCTGATCTCTTATACATCTACTGTCCAATGGGCTCAACTTTTTAATCAAGTCTTTTTATATTCTTTCTTCTTTTTTTTTAATACATTCATGAAATACAATTGAATATTACATTTTATCAACTGGAGTATTTGAAGAAGAGCAAATATGCAGTAATAATAAGTTCAACTCAACATTTTGATTCCATAGGGAAAATTGGCCGCATGTAGTGGTACAATGTGCAATACAATAAAATAACAATTGTAAACCGCTTTGTGACTCTGGTCTGTGAAAGGCGGTATATAAATAAAAGCTTACTTACTTACTTGCTTACTTAAATAGAATACAGCAATTTTCAGTCGAACACTGCTAAAACACAACCGTAGTTTGGTTTCAGTAGTTATGAGTCCAGTCTCCATTTACAGCTAGCTAAGAAACATAGCAACTGCTTATTTTTTGTGCTCCCTGTGTGCTCTTACTGACCTTAATGTGCACTGCAACATTGAAATTTCCCCACTGTGTGACAAATAAAGCATCTCAGACCAGACAGACGATTCCTTTCAACAGGGACATTCTACCTTTGTCAGAGTTTAATTCATAGCTGATAGAAAGACGATTTGCAACTAATATTAACTTGAATTCTTGTTTTGTTTGTGTAGGATTCCCAGGATGAAGACCAGGCTGGGCTGTCTGTCCCACAAGTCGGACTCTTACAGCGACTTCAGCGAGTTCTTGCCTCCCGCCCATGAGACCACCGCACGCTGTCAGAAGTGAGTGTTTACAAGTGAATTGAATTTATTTTGCTGTGTCCGAAATGAAACAACTCAATATGCCGTCATCAAGTGAAAGATTGTATTAACAGGGAACAAATATATGTCAATTGTTGTAATCATCGGACTCTGAGGAGCACAGGGACTGGTCTCCTTCTGGTGCCCAGAGTCAGAACTAAACATGGGGAGACTGCTTCCCAGATTTGTGCAGCAAAATGTCTTGAACATCCATCCATTTTCTTCCAAGGCACCTTTTTGTCTCTCTCTTTTTTGCTTTTTGTCCTCTACCACATGACTACCATTTGTACCAAGTTGCTTACAAAAGTCAGTCTCTTCCAATGCCTACTATCACCACTCTCTCGCAGCTCTCCCTCCCCCACACAAATAAGCCCACCCCAGCCCCCTGCTGTTTTCGGTCATTCCCTAAATTTGCAAATCAAGACAGGCAAATATTAGCAACCAAAGCAGCAAGTTAGCTTCTCCTCTTCAAAACGAGGGTCTAAAAACGCTGGGACTTTTAGTGTTAAACAGAGCCTCTCAGTTCTCTGCAGCTCAAGCTGCTGTTTGAGCAGCAACCCACCTCCTCCCCATCACCGCCTCTTCATGAGTATCATGTCATGTCTTTGGCTCAGCTTCTTCTCTACCAGGTTCTAGGCCCTGGGGGGGGACGCAAGCTTATAATTTCTGTCAAACTCCCTTCTGCATACATTAACGGGGTGTAATCTCCAAAGCTTATCAATAAATATAATAGTACTCAATCTAAGCCTGCTGGTGTTTATTCATGCATCTTGAAAAAAAACATTCTAATGCAATCTTGAGTCTCTCCAGATTAAATTGTCATATGCATCAACACTGAAGAACGGCTGCAAAGCAAATGCATTTATACTTGAATTCAACTGAAATACAATGCAATAAATACGTCCCAGTTGTATTCTTTGTATGCGGTTGTTCAGAAATAGTCTGGAACATATGTCTTCAACTTGTCCGGTGATTAAATAAACATGAACTCAACGCTATTTCAGGCAGTTTAAAGATGTACGAGTCGCAAAAGCCATTTCCTGTTTTATTTTGGTCTCTGTGTTTGCAGGCTGTCCACGGACGAGGTGGTGCGGTGGTCTGACTCATTCAACGAACTCATCTCACACAAATGTAAGTTCACATACATTTTTCATAATTTGTGCCATAACTATGTGCTTTTAATAAACAATAAGACACACAGTCATGTAGATACAGAACAAGTCGTAAAGGTGGGAAGGCCAATAACGTACATGGTAAGAAGGTGTTATTCTGTAAGTATTAAGCTGAAAGCCGTCAAATCGACTGCTCTGGAAGTTCTAGTGTTAAGAAGTGGCTCTAGATCAGGGGTGTCAAACCGGTTCCAGAAAGGGCCGGTGTGGCTGCAGGTTTTAGTTCCAACTTGAGCAGGAGAACACCAGACTCCACCCATTTCCTCAAATCTTAAGGTGAAAAATGGTCTCACCTGAGGAAATGGGTGGAGTCTGGTGTTCTCCTGGTAAGGTTGGAACTAAAACCTGCAGCCACACCGGCCCTTTGAGGACCGGTTTGACACCCCTGCTCTAGATGTTCAACTTCCGGGTGGATCATCAAGACCATTGGTCCCCCCAATTGTCAATCATTCTGGCGATACGTTCTCGTCAAATGTAACCGGAGAGTTCAAAAAGTGGAGAGGGAGGGTCTTTCTTAAAATTTGGGAAAATTCTCCAGTATACCTTTTTAAGATAATAATAATAAGACAGCAATTCTCGGTTCTGTGGTTTGCTACACTGCCGTTATGCTAAGTATTGACCCTTGTGTGCAGTTTTATTTACCTTCTTCACCCGACACACCTGCAAGACACGGGTTTTAGAACAGTTTTGAGTTTTGGCAGTCAAAAATCCCACTTCGGTTGCTCTGTAGGGTTACACTTGGCACACCACCAGAAAATCAGTGTAGAGTCTGAGGAGGGTCAAATGCCTTTGGAGTTTTTGATCAGTGGGAGATTCTTCTTGTTTTCTTTTTCTCAGTCTCTGGTCTGTAAAAATGTGCTATATAAATAAACATTACTTACTACGTACTTACAGGATTAGTGCATCAGAAAGCATTTTGGAAGCCAATCCTATCTGGTACACCCAGGTCTTTCTATCCATGGATTATAGTTACCACCAGAAGAAAAGTGCAAGTCTGCATGAAAATAACTCCACATCAATAACTCCACAACGACCAGGAAATGTGCCTGATTCCAGATAATTAGTGCCTCTATTGTTCAGACATACACCACTGCTCTTCCGGTGAACTGCACTTTACATAAGCGTGGTGCTCAAGACACCGAGATAAGTAATGATTCAGATGGTTCCTCAGCATCCCACAGCCGCAGCGACCCCTGCACGCTAAAGTCCCAGCGATTGCGCTCGGATGCCGAATCGAAAGAGAGAAATGTGACGTAGCATCCACACAATGAGAGACCAGGCGTCACAGAGTTTAATGAGCTAAATCTAATGACCAATGCTCCGTACTCTTCCTGTTTAATGCTCCGTGGTCCTGGATGAGGTAACAGTGTATTGTAGACAGCAAATGCAAGGATTATAAATAGACCATTGTTGAAATGAATGTGATTACCTGGTTTACAGACGGCATGTCATCACCGTCTATTGGTCAATGAAGGTATTTGCAAAAAAGGTGTAGGGAGAAGTTCAAACCTCACATTGGGTATTCAACAGTAAGAGAAAATATGTATGATACTAATATATATACTTACGCATGTATACACAAAAAGATAGATATTACAAACATAAACCAGAATTGAAGTTACTTGCTCTCAAAACATTTAGATACAACCCATATTTGTATGTACTCAAAATACATTATAATCAGACACTATGTATTGTACTTCATATTAATAATGTTTCGTAAAAGGCAAAATGATATTAAAATGAAGTCACTTTTTTAATGTCACTATTGTGGCCATACTTGCATGTGAAAGCCAGATCCCGTCAGACCTCTGAAGCAGGGCAGGGCCTGGTTAGTGCTGTGATGGGAGACCTCTGCGAACACCAGGTGCCACAGTGGGGCGACTGCGGCTGTAAAGTGCCAAACTGTTGTTGTGTCCTTAGGCAAGACATTTCACCCACATTGCCTGGAATGAGTCTGGTGTGTGTGTGACTGACAGCACATACACTTCGCCTCGCTTTTGTCAGTGTGCCCCAGGGCAGCTATGGCTACAGTCGTAGTTTACCACCACCGTGTAGGGAGTGAATGAATAGTGAAGCGTCTTTGAGTGTAAAAAAAAACGCTATATAAAACCAATTCATTATTATTATTATTATTTTGACATTGTTTGTATCTCAGTTTAGTTATTTATGCATTTATTATTCTCTACTTCAAGAGCAGTTGCCATAACAATCTGCTTTCAGGTTCTCTACCGGACTACTTTCCTGCAAAAAAATGCCTGCCCTTACAGCAAATGTGATATAATGATTTTATCAATCAACAACCATCAAAATGAAGATTAATAAGGATTTACTCCCTATATTCCCTGTATTTGGCAGATTCTGAGAACTTATTTAGTGAAAGGCTTTCTCTGAACTATATTAATCATAATCCACATAATAATTTCTACAATAGAGTCACTACTTTAGAGATAACCTTCCAAAAATATTCACATTACACAAGCATGGCATAACAGATAAACACATACAAAAATATATATACATAAAAACAGGAAACGCACAATAACTCGTCTCCTCAGGGTCTATTTCTTTCTAAAGTTACTCATGCTAAACCTTTACTAGCATGTTATTAATGCGTGTCTTTGACCCAATTAAGATCAAAGTTCTATATTTATACCAAAAACCTTTTTCTCAGTTTTGGCAGTAATTGTCACATCCATAAATCTACATTCAAATAATTAACAATGGTGAATCAGACATTACAAAATCACTTTTTAAACAATGCAGAATGAATGTGGAACAGGCCCAATAAATGTGAGTGGAAAAGCCAAATTGTGCTAATTCATGTTCTTAAAAATAGAGCCACCATTAGTCTATTCATTTAGTGTCTGTCACCATTAGTTTAACACTGGTCTCACATGAAAAGCTTTTAACGTTAATGAGGCTTTTTTTATATTTCTTCCTTTCTCTAAGTGGGTTTGCTCTAATTAAGATTTAAGAATTCACCTTTTGAAACGCTAAATATAACTTGAGCGTTGCCTAAATCTATGACTGTAAATAGATCTTCAAACTAAATCTTGCTAAATGGACCAATTGTAATTATGTGTTGTTTTAAGCCTATAAATATGATCTTGGTAGCATGGTAGCAGAGTGGATGGCACTCTCGCTTCTGACCAAGGAGGTTCTGGATTGAATGTATGTAACTGTATTTAACTTTTGTCCAGGACTCCCTTGAAAAAGAGGTTCTTAATCTCAATGGGACTTTCCTGGTTAAATAAAGGTAAAATGAATAAATAAAAATAAATAAAAAATCCCGGATGGAACCAGCGGGGGCAAGTCCCAACTCAAAAGGGTCCATGAGCACAAACTGTGTCTAAATTTGAGCATATTTTGACTGCAAGATTTGGGGACAAGCAAAATTATCTTGTTTTAAAAAGATACAAGAAATATCTCCCTTGGAATGGGAAAATAAAGCAACAGTTCTTGGAATGAGAATAGATAGCTTGTCTTCATCAGCATGTACTCAAACGGTGTACCTACTGTATAATTACACTGTGTGGCCATGTATGATGAAACTAGTCTGTCCCACTTTCACATCTTACCAAAGCTTTTACTTAACCCAAATGAATGTGCCTCCTGGGAGTGTTACATAGGAGGTTAACGGGGAGAAGACATGGCCCAAATGTGCAGACGATAAACACATTGACTTCCTGATTCAATTGACCGAGGTGAGGAGTGCGATGTTCCCGACTCAAACAAGATGCTGTGTGCATTAAACCAGATGTTATGAAATGGCTGGAGAGAAACATATCTGTGTCACTGAAACGACACGAAAACAGAACAATGCATGTATTTGTTGGACAATGCCTGAGTGTAGGTCAAATGCATAGAGAAGGAATCCATCCAGTCTACTTTGTTTATATAGCACTGTTACCAAAGTGCTGCACAGAGATAAAAGTAACACAGAAGTAGAAGATAAATACATCTTGAAGATGACTCTTAGCATTTCTTTGTGCTGCCTGTATTGTATGTTGTATTTCATTCAGTTTTTAATTAAATTGTGGATTTTGTATTGCCCTAATTCACAACAGCAGTTATTGATTCGCCAACATCAAGTTGTTGATTTGCCACACAGATCAGAGAATCAAACAGTTCAAAAACACAGGGGGTAGAGTGATAAAAGCACTTAGAGCTATTGGTTTCCTAAGGGGCAGATTATCGATGTCCATAAAAAATCAGTGCTTGAAATGAGATAATGGAGCATTAATGGAGCACAAAAAACAACACTAAATACTATTTTCAAACAATCAAAGTCACATTTTGTCAACATAAAATGGAAAATGGGTGCCACAGTGGTGAGTGATAGGCACAATGGGTTTGAAGCAGGTCAGCAAAGGACTTTTTTGGCTGGAGTTTGCAAGTTTGCCAGTGGTTTATTCCGCTACTACACAAAAAAAAAAATCTATGGGGCTAGGACTCTCCTGAAAAAGACATTCTGAAATCTCAGAGGGATTATCCCGGTTTAATAAAGGTTAATTCAATAAAAATAAATAAAAGTGTCTCCCTCCTTAATCGGAACAAAACAATATCCATATGACTGTGTTGTAAAGCGTGGATGTGTAAATGTGTGGAGACAGTGTGCACACTCAGGCCTAATCTAATCTCACTGCGGCTTGTGCCACTGCTAACCTTGTGAGCCACAAATCTTATTACTGCGAGAACATCGTGTGAACATGGCCCATTTAAAAAATGAGGATTTGGTGCTTCTCTGTGCATGGCAGACCACATTGTACCCATTAGCGAAATAGAAAGTAAATGGTGCAGCCAAATGGACATGACAATTGATGTGGCAAAGGACAGACTAAATGTAGCAGTTGCATTACAATAATTAGGATATAAAGGGGCATTTTTTACACAATGTAGGAATTTGGCATTATAATTGATCACTGATATTATTATTGTAACTGATATGTAAACTATTCGTCACATGTAAAAATACTGTGACTCAATGTTGTCCATATCTTTATGATCTACTGTGCAAGAGGCCTTAAAGGTGCAGTAAAGGATTCAGGTTAGCCTACTGTAGCAGTAGCACCCAAGCCCCAGTGATCCAAGATGGCGCCCTATTCAAATTAAATGGCTTGTGCTCAGTAGCGCACTTCACGTAAGTAGCGGGACTTCATGGAGACCGGGAGATTAGCAGAACTGGCCTATATAGACAGACACATGTATTCACAGGCTTAATGGGCCCTAGTGTGTAGAGAAGGTCTGGGGCAGTATGCAGTTCCCAGAATAGAGAGTATGGATACACTTAAATAATCCCTCTGTGAGACGAGAATGCATAACCCTTCACCCCCCACCCTGTTGTCTGCTGTTGAGGCTGAGCTTTCCTATTAGGCCAAACAGAGAAAACAGGTTGAGGTAACATGTCATTGTGACCGTAACCCAGTTAGACTCCATCTCCTGCCCCCTCTTAATTATGGATGATAGATGAGGTGTTTATCAGAGAGGAAAAAAAAATCCCTCTATGATGGCTTCTGGGAACAAAACAAAACACAAATAAATTCAATGTATTATCCATGATCCATAAATACATTTCTATCAACTTGTTTATGGGGCTTAAGGGCAACATACATGGCAAAAGGCCTATAGTTCTTATTCATCTTTATAAATATTTTTTCATACATTTCATACATGTTGAAAATCCTGCCCTAAAGAGAACATAACCAAAACAGCTAGCTTACGTACTGAAGCTGCAATATTCCATATTTCAATCACGCTGATATGGTAACGCTGTGGCTCGGCCTGGAATGTCCCATTGTAATGCACGTAACATTCTTAATCATGCATTAATGGTGTTAGTCAGTTTGTTATTTGGGTTGCCCTTCCTGTCAAAGGAAACACACATCAATGTCAAAAAGAGATTGGATACAAGATAAAATTTTAAACCATTTAAAGTATTCAAATATATACAATAAAAACGCTTTGTTATTATTAACGCTGCATAATATGAATGATTAGCACTGCATACGTTAAGTCTGGTGCACGGCAAAAGTACTTGACTGTACTTGATGTTACGCTGCAAAAGGGATTAAGTCAAAAGTTGCTCAAATTTGGCAACATGTATCTTTTTTGAGCACATTTTGACTGCCTTTAAACAAGATTTGCCAATGGGACAAGCAAAATGATCTTGTTTTAAAAAGATACAGGAAATCTCTGCCTTGAAATAAGAAAATGTGTTGAAATAAGACTAATTGGCGCATCCCATTGGCAAATCTTGTTTTAAGACCGTCACAATGTACTCAAATAAGATAAAAACCACTTGATTATTACCTCATAATTTGTCATTTTTTGCTGTGTCGGTAAGTGTCATTTCACCCGTTTTCTTTCAGATGGGCTGGTGGTGTTCCGGACCTTCCTCAAGTCTGAGTTCAGCGATGAGAACATAGAGTTCTGGATGGCCTGTGAGGACTACAAGAAGGTCAAGAACTCTACAAAACTGGCCGCCAAAGCCAACAAGATCTACAAGGAATTCATTGATGTAAAGGCGCCAAGAGAGGTGCGAGACACTGTTGTTTTTTCTCATTATTGGCTTCATGGAGTATTTAAGATATAGATTCAACAGATTGATACCATACTGTATTCTCATTTCTTTCTCAATTCAAGTCAATCTACTTTTTTTATTCTATAGCCCTAAATCACAACTGTGGTTTTCTTGGAGGACTTTACAAAACAGTCAAATTCACCAACACAGATCAAAGAATCAAACAGAAGAAATTCTATGAAAAAACACATTGGTCCCTAAGGGGCAGTTAGCCATGAATTTCGACATTCCAAGGCCATACATGTCTTGGAATGTCGAGGGTCCTGGATCATCACCACTGTCCTTTGACCCTTTATTTAAACAAATGTGATTATTAATGACATACTTATACCTCTTTTCTTCTGCAGATCAACATAGACTACCGCACAAGGGAGAGGACCAAGCAGATCCTTCTGATGGAGCCCACCCCCACATGCCTGAATGAGGTTCAGTCCAAAGTCTTCAGCCTGATGGAGAAGGACTCTTACCCGCGATTCCTCCGCTCTAAAATGTACCAGGACATCGTGAACCGGGCACATGCTCGGGGGCAGCGGAGATCTGTTTAACACAAAACCCACTGCATAGACAATAATACTGCACTGAGACTGGAGGGAGGTCCACAGGTGACATGATGAGATTTAAGGAGAGGAGTTTGACTACATTTAATTACAAACGATACAAAATAAATGTGCATTAGGTAGCTTTCCACTGCCCAATGCACCTTGAAAATGCTCCATTCTCTCATCACAGTCTCAACTTCTCATCACATTCAGATTACATCTCTAACACGCAACATGTTTTTGATTATTTTTATTCTTTTTGTGCTGGTATTGAACGAGCAGAAAGGTTCTAAACAGGCACTTGGTCTTTATAGTTTCCCCCAAGCCACCTAGCATGCATTACATTGATCAGCAAGACCCCACCCCGCCAACTCTATGTAATCTGGCCTCAGCTAGTTCAGTTGATTTGAAATCCCTCAGCCATTATTTATCATTAGATGTAAAACTGGCATTCTTGTGTTTCCCGACTAGATCTCCCTGAAGAACATATTGTATTTCACTTGACAACCGTAAACCGATAAGATGAGATGCAATGAACTTCAATGCTTCACACTGTTTATGATTTTAAATTAGAATTGTTTCTGCAATATCCAGTTCCTGAAGTGATCCAAAATTTTATATTATTCACAATTCCTGTCAGGAGATTGTTGTGTCAAAGCAATAACATCAAGAAGGCAATTAGTTAACGTTGTAATTGGGATTTTACTGTATTGTTAATATCTGACATCATCACACACTTGAGTTGAGTTTACATTTGTGTAATTTGTTTCATTTATGTATTGGTCTTTAATTAACCAGGGAGATCCTGCTGAAATTTCAGATTCATCAGGGGAATCCTGGCCATAGAGGGGAGGATTCTATTGTAGATGAAGCATCTCTTAATCTTAGCTGTTTTTCGTAGGTAAGCAAACTGGTATAATGCTTACTCCAGTCAGAACAGCCTCTGTGACACACTTGAACCCAGGGCCAGCTGTGTGAAGTTTGATTTTTTTTTTTTTTTCAAAAAGTCAAATTAAGTCATATAAAAGGTGCAGGTTCTTCTTTTAAAAGAACATTCATTATGTTAAATTGACACAACACTTGGACACAGTTCAAATGAGCACAGAACACAGCCATGTCATGTCATGTCATTTCAACCGGAGTAGATAATAGGTTTGTCAGTGGACCTGGAGCACCTGTGAATACTGTGACTTGGACCAGATTCTTGCATGAAGTCCACCCCGTAAGTGTGACCCACAGAGCCTGAAGACCCGCTGTCAGAACCTCTGTGTGCTGGGTGAGGCTACGCTGCAAAAAAAAATTTAAAATGTGATGTCTCCATTTCAGATGATAAGCAGGATTCTCCTAACTTGTCATCCTCAAATACTGACGGTTTCAGTTCAATTTTTGTTTTTTGTGTCAAATGGGATGTGACCATTGACCCTGACCAGTCGATTTCAAGCTATAGGAATTATTGTTCATATGAACGCAACTAAACATGTATATACGTAACTAGTTTGTGTTTGCTGTGTTTACATTATTTTTATTTTCATCAAGCCAATTCTTGTCAAACCACAATACTTATTATCTATAAATATGTTTTGTACTTTGTAAGTATTTGAACCTGGGTAGGTATTTATTTATCATTATATTTTGTCATTCACGTGTTATATTTTTGGTCAAAGTTATTGGTAATATTGGGAAATGAAATAAGAGTTGGTTATTGGTCATACCAGCTGGAAAGGGGACCGAAAACATGAATTATACATTTCAAACGCATTATTCCTTAGTTTGGTTTAGTTTGAGGCTTTCAAATGTTCTATTTTGTTTGTTGTTATAGTTGAAATGAGGTTTCATCGTGTTGATCCATAGTCATGCATACTTTATCAATCCAACTTTTCTACCCCACTTTCAAGGTGTTTTTTTTTTTTATATTTTGCATTCCATAGTTCCTCACCCAGCACTTTCTTGTGTGTTTACAATGATCAACAGACTGAATATTTATCTGAAACTGTGCCAAATAATATTGCACTTATTAATCTATTGTTACCCTGTGTTGTAACATGTATACAGGTTCAGTGTGTGCCTGTGAAGTACTGTAAAACCAGCTGCTGGGTTTGGGTTGGCTTTGATATTACACAAGACCAAAAATATGTATTTGTTCATTTGGTCCTGACCAAGGCCCAGGTTAAGTCAGCGGTCACTGTTTCAGAGTCGTAGTCAAAAGTTATTTCACAGTGCTGAGGGAGTTGTTTTTGGACCAGCGTATAATTTTTACTCCAGTGAAGACGGGTCAAGCAAACTTCCAACTTTCAAAATAAGTCTCTAATAATCATAGAGCGAGTACCTAGAATAAGCGAGAGTCATAATTTCACTACAGCTTATCACTTACATTGACAATACAGAAATACTCCAACAATGATTTTAAAAGAACAGTAAAGAAAGAGGGGGCGACAGTAGCTCAGTTGGTAGAGCACTGGTCTTTGGACCTAATGGTCGTGGGTTCGATCCCACCACAACCCATGTCAACTGCTCCCACTGATGTCCGCTGTCGTTGTGTCCCTGGGCAAGACACTTAGCCCCAATGTGCCTGAAGTCCCCGCTGAAAGACCGAGGCCGCATCTGTGTCGAAGGAGCAGCCATCTTCCCGTGGACCCACCACCTGCAGGAAGATCAGCAAGGGACTGGTGCTATGTGAATTGGGTGGCAGTTCTGATTGCCACCCCCCTGACCCAGAAATGGAAAAATAAAGGGATGTAAATGAGATGAGATGAGAGATGAGTAAAGAAAGAGCCGAGTTTTGTCCCTAGTAAGACTTGTGTGTTTATGTTGGTCGGAGTGTTCACACCGAGCACGCCCCTGCAAAAAGTGCCAGGTTCGACGAGAGTCATTTTGAGGCTTATAGCAAAGGGGACAGGCGCAACAAGAATTTCAAATAATTTTCATCCATATAAAAAATGGCTGTTTAAACATTAATTAAAATTGAGGAAAATAATATGGTTTCCATCATTTAGCTAATTTATTAAAAGGAATCTCTAAAGACGACCAATTATTATAAACTGTATCAATATCAGAATTCAATTTTTTTTTTTGTTACCAACAGGAATTCACAAACTAAGAATTTGCTTTGGCATTTGACGCAAACAAATTATAAATGAATAAATTGCAGTCACAAAATATCCACACAATTACCATTCTACATCATACTGTATTTCAAAAGTCCACAATTTATTATTGATAAATTAAGCCCTGATGAGCTCTTTACTTCACTTGCTGTAGTTTAAATAATATACCATTCCCTCAAATGTATTCTAAACTTATAAACCCATTGATCAGCAGGAATCCTCTTCAATTATTATCAGAGTGTTGTACCTTTTTAATGTCTTAATTTTCAAAACCTACCAATTTTAGGTGTAAAAGGTTTTTTAGAATCAGGCTGCCACAAATGGTCAAACGCCAAACCTTTCGCGTTTATTATCCCTTCTGTCAAGTCAGCTGTAAGAAAGCTGTAGCCAAACCCAGCAGTTCTACCCTGAGTCAATGTGTTGTGCAAAAATCCTTGACTTAATTAAAGCATGATGCACTACTCAGTGATATTCAAAATGAATGGCGTTTACAGCATGGAACATTAATGATGAAATAAAGTGGACTATGTATTATTCTATAACTGCTGTGACCACGTGCTCCTATGGAATTTGCACTTGTTTATAGTCTGTAGAGTTGGGATAAATGTTCCCTTTAATGCATGCGTGTAGCCCACTCATAGACAGTAGAGAGACAGCAAAAAAGTTGATGTTTTTGAGTTTTGGGTTCTGGAAAAGGGACTGCTCCTAATCTCTTGGACAGATCTTAATTGTCCTAGCTCAAATAATATATTTAATTGGGGGCTAACATGAAAAAGTTCAGGAGATACCTTTATTTGAGGTATTTGAAGTTAAACGTTAACCATGTGGACCGAATAATAAGACTGCTGTTCTGTGGTAGCATTAACATTTGGACAAAGGCGTATAGAACCATATTTTATCTACAACACGAGACTGCGACAGATCTGATCCATCACACTGCAGGCCCCTACCCATCCCTCGACAACCATCCACTCTTTGTCTGCTGTCTATGGGTTCACTCCTACTGCAAAGGCACTGGTGGATTTTACCCTAAACCAGTAATATTATATTTTGTGATTAAAAAGCATATTATAACAACTCATGTGTGTCTGCTTTCACTGTCAGAAACTACATTATAAAAGTGTATCTAGTGTGTTAGCCTTGTCTATATACTGTATGTGAGTGGTCAAGTAAGTTTGTTAATTCCAAGTAAAATCTGTTTTGGATGCCTCCTGACATGGGTGGTGTTTATGAGATTCCTCCAGAAAATCTAGTGGACTGTAGAGTGAAGTCTGGGCTTCTTAGTCTAAATATGTTTTTTATATGCACATTAGTTCTATATTTCTGAATGGATCACGATATAGTCATATATAATAGATTTTTTTCTATTATATGATTCCAACTCTGCTGTTTGCATACAGTGTTGTTCTTTTTGCTCCAACAAACCAGAGCCTTCAAGACTGTGAAGTGTGAAGCGGCTAGGATGAGAATCAGCACCTCCAAATCCGAGGCCATGGTGCTTGACCAGAAAATGGTGCCTTGCCCTCTCCACCCACCTGGAGAGGTCCTTCCTCAAGTGGAGGAGTTCAAGTATCTCGGGGTCTTGTTCATGAGTGAGGGAAGGATGGAGCGTGAGATTGACAGGCGGATCGGTGAGTTATGTTCAGTGATGTGGTCACACATTTTCCTTGTTCTTGTGAAGAGGGAGCCCGGTCTCCCTCCCTCCCCTGTGGTTATGAGCTTTGATGTCTTTGCTTCAAAGAAGAAATTGATGCATTTTTATGAAATAGAGCTTGAGTTTGAGTTAAGGTTGAATTTTAATTCTTTGAACATTTTCATCTTTATCTTCTAATTGCAGTAAGACAGAAGAACCATTTAAGCGAGCACCCAAGTTTGTTCTTATCCAAACCCTCATGACTGAGC